CTCTCTCACGCAAACCTGAATATTTGGAGGGGAGGGAGCACCCAAGAGAGACATGTCATTCCAGAGGACCGCTGGGTGTGTGGGGCGGCATTGGTGGGACAAAGAGAACTGGTAGAAGAAACAGAGAATGATGAATACGCCCAGAATAAGCTTAGAGGTCTTAGGGATGAGGGAGAGGAATCAAGGGGTTTCGAGGAAAGAAATGGAGCTTTGTATTACAAAGGGGCACTGTATATCCCTGAAGGAGACTTAAGGGGGGGGAGGGTACTCAAGCAGTGGCCTGACAGCCCCACGGCGGGGCATTTTGGGCAACACAAAACCATGTGGTTGGTCACCAGGGAATTTTGGTGGCCTAAGGTGAGGGAGGATGTACGTGAGTATGTAAGAGGGTGCGAGCAGTGCCAGCGAGCCAAAGGGGAAAGGCGGGCGCCGGCGGGGCTATTAGAACCCTTACCAACACCAGAACGACCTTGGGAGGCAGTGTCGATAGATTTTATGACTGATCTGCCGAAGTCCAAAGGGAAAACAGCCATCATGGTGGTGGTAGACCTACTAACAAAGATGTGCCACTTTGTAGCTTGCTCGCATGCAGTCACGGCGGAAGAGACAGCAAAGTTATTTGTAGAACACATTTTTAGGTTGCACGGGGTGCCATTGAGGGTGGTCTCAGACCGAGGAAAACAATTTACTTCCAGGTTCTGGAGGAAGCTCATGAGCTTACTGCAGGTGGAGGTCAACTTTTCGACTGCCCGGCACCCTGAAACCAACGGGCAGGCGGAAAGAGCAAACGGTGTCCTCCAGCAATACCTGAGGTGTTATGTCAATGACAGAGAGAATGACTGGGTAGAAAAGTTGGCGCTGGCGGAATTTGCCTACAACAATGCCGAGAATGTGTCCACAGGGATGAGCCCCTTCTTGGCTAATTATGGGTGTCATCCCAGGGCTTTCCCAGGGGGAGAAGGGGAGAGATGGAGCGTACCGGCAGCCGAGCATTTTGTAGAAGAAATGGAAGCAATCCACCGTCAGCTCCAACTCAACTTAGAAAGGGCGAAGGAAGAATACAAGAGGCAGGCAGACAAGAACCGAAGGGAAGGTGAAACCATAAGGGTTGGAGAGAGGGTGTGGCTGTCAACCCGAGGGCTGCTGCTCAAAGGAGGTTGTAAGAAATTAAGACCCAGGAGGTTGGGTCCCTTTGAGGTCATTCAACAGGTCAACCCAGTGGCTTTCAGGCTCCGGTTACCCAACCACATGAAACTGCACCCAGTATTTCACAGGTCGTTACTGTCACCGTACGAGGGGGGACGAGAAGGGATGGCCACTGGGACCGGTCATAGAAGAAAGAGAATGCAGCAGTCATGTGGCAGAAATCCTTGATGCCAGGTGGAAGGGGAATCAGGTGGAGTATTTGGTAGCGTGGGAAGGAGAACCGGAGTCAGAAAACACGTGGGTAATGGCCAAAGATATCAATGACGAGGTATTGATAGAAATGTTCCATCAAAGGTTCCCGCGGAAACCTCAGCCTGTGGAGAGGTTCCGGAGGGAATACTTTGGGACCACTGAGGAGGAGGAGGAGTTGGAAGGATTCCCAGAATCGGAAGGGGAAGGGGAGATGGACTCGGAGGAGGAGGAGTGCTTCGAGACCAGGAACCGCAACAGGTGGAGAGAAGTGTTCGAGACATCGGAAGATGAAGGAAGTTCATTCCGGGTTTTGCCTCCTCACCGCCCGTAGAGGAGGGGGCGAGAGGGGGTGAAGGGGGCCCTGGAGGGGAGGTGGATGTCAGGGAACTGCCATCGGTAGGAAGGAGGTGAAAGGACTCAGACAGGTTGGAAGAGACTTAGCAGCTAAAGAGGAAACCAGCAGGGGAGAGAAGCTGAACTGAGGGAGGTGAAAGGGCTCAGACAGGTTGGAAGAGACTTAGCAGCTGAAGAGGAAACCAGCAGGGGAGAGAAGCTGAACTGAGGGAAAGGGAGCTGGGGGATGGCTCAGAGATACTTCCAGCGAAAACAGTGGTGAGGTCTCCGGACCTCCTGTAGCGACACCCACTCCTCGCCGGAAACTGTCACGCAGAGAGTCCAGAAGACGTGTTTCCGTTAAGGAGCTTTTATGTTGGAAGCGATTACGAAAGCAACCACTGTCGGAATCTTCTAGTGACTAAGAGGAGCCATGTCAGAGGGGCTCAGTCACAGACAGAGGTTTGTGGACTTGAACAAACTCTGAGGGAATACGATTTTACGCACAAGCAGCTCATAATCCCATCACA